ATAATCCTTGAACATGGAATACCGGAAAAAGTATTAACGGATCAAGGCACTAATTTCACGAGCGAAATCTTTAAGAATACGTGCAAATTACTAAAAATCCACAAAATACAAACGACCGCGTATCACCCAGAGAGCAACGGAGCTCTCGAACGATCGCACAGAACACTAGCCGAATACCTACGGCATTATATAAATACAGACCAGACAGATTGGGACGAATGGCTCCCATACGCCATGTTCACATACAACACTACCCCTCATACGGTGACAGGGCTCACACCTTTCGAACTAATGTACGGCCACCCAGCCGTACTGCCTACAGCATTGACTAAACCACCTCGACCAACGTATACGTACGACAACTACGCGGAAGAGCTACGCGAAAGGATTCGCGCCGCAAACGATATAGCAAAAGAAAATACAAAGATAGGCAAAGAAAAAGCAAAGACGCAGTACGATAAGAAGACAAAGGAACAAACATTCAAAGCGGGAGATAAGGTGTTAGTTAAGGACGAAACAGTGCGAAGAGGCCGATCCAAAAAACTGGAACCCCAATGGATCGGACCATACACAGTTATGGAGAAACACAACGAAGTAAATTATTCCGTGAAGATGGGACGTAGGACGATTCGCGTACACGCGAACAGACTGAAACCATTCATAGACAACTAAGATAGACAAACTAAACAAACACTCACCTATTCCCAACGTTCATAGAATTCTTCATCCTCCTCAATAACCAAAGCCACCTCCTCCGACGAAGAGGACACCTCATCTCCTCCTACAGATCCAACACCAACATCCGACCCACCCGCCGGAGTGGGATCCAAAGAAAGAGGCGGAATGGGGAAAATCTCCAAACTCCCCGAGGAGACGGAGATGACCTCCGACGCCTCAGACGACATGGAGAGATCACTCACCACGAATACCTCGGACAAATCATCCGAGGGGCGATCGTCCGATAGGTTCGATTCGGAGTCACTATCAAACACCACCGGATCGTCCGGCAACTCCGAGGACTCCACCTTAAGATCCTCGATCTCACAAGGCACACGAAAAAACATCGTAGCGAGTCGAGAGAATACTAACTAGCCAAAGCAATTAAAAGTAGCAGTACCCCGTGGCAAGCAGAACCACGTATCAAGTAACAAGACTAGATAAGATAGAAAGCGAAAACGACGAGAGATACAATTACGAGGAGAGAAGAAAACCATCCACACTTACCGAGGACCTACGAAACCGCAGCGCGCGAAATGGCCTCGTACCAGGCCAAAAATTCCTGTGAAGACGGGAAAGTCTCCGCCACAAGGTCCACCAACTGAACCCAGGCCAGGGAACCGATACCCCCGATGAGAGACAACTCACGCGGGTCCATGTGCTCCTCAGCACGACGCACCAGCTGCTCCATTACACCCGGAGCAGGCCCAGGGCCCTCAGGAACATCCTCATCAGACTCCTCGCCACTCGCGGACACACTCTCACCACCTATGGACACATCCTCGTCACCCATGGATACATCCTCATCAGACTCCTCGTCATCCGACACCCCCAGAGACGGATCTCCAAAATCCGCAAAAACCTCTACAAAAGTAGACGGCTCCGCCACGGGCTCACCATCCAACTCGCAAGGCACTGCCTCGTAAGTGTCTTCGACCGTTCGAATAGGTTCGCCGAAATGCATTACGAACGCAAGGAAAATATAACTTTTTTTTTCGATGACTAGCGTAACGCAACTAACGCTCGACTGAAGAAAAGAACCAAACGAAACCATCTCCAACTAAAAAGCACCCAGTCAGCGAAATGAGATTAAAGTAACGATAGCCGTAATATTATATTACAGATCTCTAACGATAGGTGCCTACCTGACGACGGTCGCAATATCTAACGACGCGCCGCCGTACGAGATAACCATCTTCGCTCACCAGCCAGGAATATATTTCGAAAAGGTCGGCAGAATGCATCCCGTCGAAGCTACGTGGAAACTAATGATAAAAACCGACCTCACCCCGTTCACCACACGTATAGAACTAATAAAACGATGCGTCGAACGCACGGAAACAACGTGCGAAATACTGCTCGCACACAGCAGCACATGCAAAAATCTCCACGCCTTAATCAGCAAAGGGGAAAAGAGACTACAACAGTTGACTGACAGACTAAAGACAGTGTACAAAACACCGAACAAACGACGCGGATTAATAGACGGAATAGGCGTCATTGCAAAAACGCTATTCGGAACAATGGACGCAGATGACGACAAGCTAATAAACGAACAATTATCACTGTTACAAGAAGCAGACAGAGCGACAAAACACGCTTTACAGTACCAAAACTAAGAGTAATCAACGCGACAATAGGACACATCAGCAACCTGGAACAAGTAATCGAAGAAAATGAAAACACCCTAAAAAACCTAATGGAAAAAGTTAAAAGTACACTGGTCACACACAGTCGACGACACGACCTAGACGAACACTACACCCTGATCAATGCAATCATCAATGATCTAACACGCGACGTAACAGACACATTAGATTATATAACATGTATTAAGGAAGGAAAATTACATCCCAGGTTAATTCCGATCGAGACCATAATAACGAATCTAAAAGACGCAGCGATAAATTTACCGCAAGGACTATACTTCCCATTTAACCTACGACAGGAAGAATGGTTAGACATAGAAAAAATTACGAAAATTACCGCATATTGCGACGGTTCAACTATATTTACTATCCTCCGATTCCCTCTCGCCACGACGCCGACATACGAAATACTACACGTCATACCATTACCGGTACACAGTCATGACAACATTTTCGCGTCAATAGAAGTAAACTACGAATGGATCGGAATAGACACCGAAAAACACACCTATGTTACACTTGACAACTTACACGAATGTATTAAAATAAATTTGGAATACCTATGCGAACGAAATTATATTGTCAATAGGCTATCTACCAGCGCAATCTGCGAAACAGATATGTACATGTATAATAACGATAAGCACTGCAATAAAAAATACACCCTAGCGACCGAAATTATGTGGATTCCGACAAAAAATTCTTGGTTATATTCCATGTCTGGAAACGTACTAGTGACACTACAATGCAAAAACTATCAAGAAGCGAAATATACCATTGCTAATACAGGAAAGATAACGTTAAAAGAAAATTGCAAATTAATTACAACCAGTAAAATCATCAACTCCAAAAGGGGAACACAGACAAAAACCATAGAGACATATTTGCCAAATACCCAAATTAAACTAATACAAAATGACGTAACGCACGAAAACGATACAAACAAAATAACGTTAGAAAAACTCACAAACTCGACTGACCTAACGTATTTAAAAAGGAATATCGACAGGATAAAAGAAGAATTGGAAAATAGCCAAGAACCCTTTTATCACCATAAGCAATTTATATACCCTATGACAACGAGCGGAATTACCATTGTTCTTATAGGAATAATAGTAGCATATATAATAATAAAGAAACTAAAAAACAAAAAAGGGAAAGTAACGAAGCCTGTTGTCATAGCGGAAAACAGCCCAGCCTAAGTGTAGAAATACAAATACATAATATCCATGTATCCGATAGAAATTAAGAACAAGTGTAGAAATAAAGTTCGCCACCTCACTTTCTTTCCATTAGGGGGGAAGGGTGTAATGAGTGCGAAACCGCCTCATTGCAACACAGGTATAGCGCACGCAGCAGAGTATCAAATATCTGCCGCGTGCGAAGAAGGAAGTAGACGATGGGACATTAACCCATCGGAACCAAGTCGACAGTGCTGACGAAGCCACTGCTGACGAACTTAGAACCGACCTGACGACAGGTCCGAAATTCCAAATAAACGGCCTGACAACAGCCGGCTATAAAAACAAATGGAAAGAAGGCAGGGCGGGTCATTTTTAAGTAAACCACACGAGTGTACGTTTCTGTATAGATTTTAATAAAAAGGATTTTGGTTAAAATATTGGCTTATGGCCTTAAGCGGTTGCGAGTTGTAATCCCGGCAACGATCCCCGAATACCGTGCCCCGACCCAGTCGGCGGCACAACACGCATTATGCAGTAAAAAATACATTAAAGATGAGATATCACCGATATATTTCGCAATATTGCACATCAGATCAAAGTCAATCAATTTAAATCAGTAGCGAAGTGAATCAATAATGAAAACATAGATTTGCTACGTCAACTTGCGCTTAAATCATTCGATCGTATTGCGCTGAATGTAGCAGTTATATGTGTTAGAAAATTTGGCTGAGAAGAAAATAAAATTAATTTATATGGAAGGTTATAAACAAAATAAAAATAAATATAATAAAAGATTATAAATTGGATTCAAGATCAAAGTAGATTAAAATAAAGCTGCAATTAGTAAATTAAAGAAATCAGATTTTTATTTTATTTGCATATGTAATATGTATTTGAAACAATATTAGTAACAGCATAATATATTTTAATATTTCAAAATTTGTATTACATTTATGGCACATATTCATTGCATAGATGGTGCTCATGGAAGAAATGTGTGATACATAGCGATTTTTTACACTAAGAACAAATAATTACAGAAATTCCATCATATACATATATCGCATTTCAATTTGGAATGATCTTTGAAACAAAATTCAACTGATGTTTGACATTCTTTCGGTCTATTCTGTATATACCCACTTTTAAACCACGCAAATTTAAATAAATTTTGAAACCTGGGTGACGAAAATTGGTTATGTGTTAATGATTGCAATTTCAGAATATTATTTCTAACGTGAAGATCTATTGCAAGATCTAACAATATAATGGTGTCGGAAAAATGTTTAATAAAATGTTTCCATAATCGGAAGCCGTATACATCTAATGGCTGAATTTTTCCCGTTGTACCGTGTTGGGGATTCAAATACTCGCGGGCGCTGCCGGTAACACCGCTTGTTCGCTGTCGAGATCGGTACCCCCTTTATCGATCGGTCTGCGCGCACGGCACAGTTCTGGCTGTCGCTGCTGTTCCTTCTTCGCTTTGTCTTCGACTGCCCACTCTTACTTACTCTTTTATACTACGCAGAGGAAGGCGTGCTTTCAATAAACGAACGTATTCTCGAACCAGTGAGTCATTTATTGGACACCACTGCGACCTCCGAACATCCTGCTGAACATACCGGCCGGAATAGTTAGGAAAATAATATCTGTCGCAGAATCTGGTCTCGTTTCTGAAATTATGTTGGGACAGTGTCCACTCCACGAATCTAATAATAGTACGGATCGTGGTCCGACATTTGGAAAAATGACATCTTTCAGCCAAGTTTTTACATGATTTGATGTTAATTTGCCTGATTTTGAAGCTGTAACAAAAATATTAGGCGCTTTAAATAATGTTTCCTGCACTCTCGGACCAAAGGTTCCTGTAATTTCTTTCAATGTAATAAAAAGAGGCGACAACAATCTACCATCAGCTGAAATAGTCGGCTGTATGGTATAACTGTGTGTGGTTGCTGATATAGACTGTACTACAGATTCTACCTTTTTTACACCTTTATGTGCTAAGGTACGACCGGAATGAAATTCAAATTGAAATCCACTCTGATCCGAGTTATAAATGTTTTGCGTGCCATATTGATCAATATAATATTTTACGTTCGCAATAAATGTATCACACTTATTTTCCAAATCTGTTTTTGATAGCAATGATTTCTTCGTTACAAAATTTGTTATTTTTCGAGACACGATATTGTGTGTACTTTTAAATCTTTTAATCCAGGATTCTGATGCTTTAAATCCTGAAGCATTTTCCTCCTCTTGGGCTCGAGAAGCCCATCGAGCGAGGTCAATATCGTGTATTGTAAAACCTTTCTCAATTGCTTCATTAAAACGGTTTAAAGTGTAATCAGATATTCTTTTTAATTTTTCTAATCTATTGCCGCCTTCACTAATTTGGTTCTCCCATCGTCGCAATTGTCGTATTGATGAAACTTTTTTAAATCTTCTTCTAACTCCTTCAAGTGATCTTGGTCCTGTTATACCGCTTCTCCAATATTCCACGGCATGTCTTTTATAGTCATCCGATATAGTTGCTTCCACAGAACTACAGATAATTTCCTCCGGAAGATATATTTTAGTATTATTTGCTTCGAATAAGTTAACCGATTCCGCTTCTGGGACTTCATATGTATTGTAAAAATCTAATGTATCTTCCTCTTCTAATTCGAATTCATTTTCGTCCTGTATTTCCAGTAGTAAACGTTGAATTTTTTCTTTGACTTCTACTTCCTCCGAAGTTGTCGGACTTTGTGGAAAGTTCAAATAAGTAAAAGTTGCATAGAGTAACATTATTACGTTGTATGGATTAAACAGCATCTAAAAAGTTATTAATATTAAACTTAATATTTGTTTAGAACTTTGGTTATATAAAAGATAATACGTACTTTACAATTAATGGACTTGTCTTTTTATATTAGTTCTAACGTCGCTTTTGTTTCTTTTCCCTTCTTTGATAATAAGGATGTGTAGCGCATCCAAAATAAATTAATTAATCAAAACGGAATAATTTGCGTTTGATATGTGGACTATGACAAAAGGAAAACAGTTTTACAAAATAGTGAAACAGATATTCTGAAATTTAAAGTAAACAAAAAGTTAATTTTATCAACTAAAAATAATTGTAGAGTCTACAATCATGACATTTTATTAACAAAAAATTATTTGTATATAAACACTGGTAAGACTGGCTGAAGAGATTAGCAAAATTGACTTTGTGTAAGTACATGAATTAAAAATATTAAGCCGAAGAATAACAAGAATAAAAAGCAATAACAACAAATTAAGTAGTCTTCATGGCTTCCGGATGGTTGCCGGATGGTTCTAAAGAAGACAACAGCCACGAAAGCCTGAAAGCCAAGATAACAAATTAAGTACTTACATATTCACAAAATAGCACTATACAATAGTCAGATTCAATACACAGTTCTTTCCACTGTCATTTTGCGAAATGATATGCCAGCTATCCGATATTACAGACGCTTATATATTGGTTACATTCAGCGCACTACGAGCGAATGATAGTGCAAGATGACGTAGAAAACCTATTTTTCCATTGTTAATTCACTTCAATACTGTTGTAACGTTGGAATTTTTGAGCTACGGATAGCCTAGAGATTCCAAGGTTCGGTCGGTGGGCTGGTCGAAGAGTGAAGGATGAGACTTATAATTTCAGTAAAAGACTACTTTATTCTAATTCTACGTACTTACAGCTATTCCTTAATATTATCGCTCGCAATGCTTAACACTAATACTTAATACTAATCGCTTATAATCTAAGTCCGCTTCGGCGGCGATCTTTGTACTTGAATGCTGGCGCGTTGCGCTGCTGATAATTTACGGCTGTGTGATTCGCGGGTCGGAATTCGGGTCTGTTCGGTTTCGGCGGCGTGAGCGCGGTCCGTTCGGTATCGGTGTTCGGCGGCGCGGGCGCGGTACGCTCGGTTCGGTCGCACGGTTAGCGCAGGCGCGGTTCGACGGTCGCGGCGCGTGTGTATAGAACGGGAGGTTAGGTCGGTGTGTTGCCGGTGCCGCTCAGCTCGCGGATTCTTTTATCGGTTAGTGCTCATCACGCATCTGACCGTGGTGGAGTCGGCACTCAACTCGTGCCTCGGACGAGAGGAAGCGGTCGCTCAATACGCGGCCTGGGGTGGGCACTCAGCTCGTGCCGTGCTAGGTTAGGTGAGTGATTCCGCTCAGTGCGCGGTTCGGGGTTACCGGGTCCGGCTCAGTACGCCTTCTCCGGGGAGACGACCTGCTCAGTTCGCCGGTCGGAGGATTCTGCTTCTCTCGGCTCGCTCGGGCTCTTTTATACCGTAAGTTCGTGGGCGCGGGGGTTAGAAACGAGACAGGGGAAGAGCGCAGGGTGGGGAGCAACGTTGCTCTTTGTTGTCACGTTACACTGTTTTAAATTGATTAATGTTGATTCATTTTCATACGTGACTTTGCCTGATGTTGATTCATTTTCATACGTGACTTTGATCTGATGTGCAATATTGCGAAAGATATCGGTGATATCTCATCTTTAATGTATTTTTTACTGCTGCGACGATTGTTCTCTTCTTTTCTCGTTTTCCGCCCTCCCGTTATACGCGGACGGGCGGGTGTTGCCGTCCCGCTCTCGCTGTCGCACGCGGATCTTCAACGGTGGTGCGCGCCGACGACGGGGAGTGCGGTCGCCGGGCGCGAGAAGCGCGGGATGCGGACGGATTGAGTCGTCGTCAAAAACCAAGGGGGATAAGGATAACGCGCCGGAAAGGAACAGGATCTCGGTAGCTCCGCGCGTACCGTGCCGAAAGCCGAAGGGTCGACGCGAAAAACGAAGCTTGGGCGCCAGACGCGGTCTTTCACGCGTCACGTCACGATATCCGCGAAATCGCACGAACGATAGATATCGGCCTTCGTCACGGGCAGGTTAGCTCGCCTAACGGCAGAGGGGCTGGGCGGTGGTTGACACCAAACGATTCCAGAGGCCACGGGACTTAATAGATTCACACGACGGATGGGACACACGAAGAGAGACGTACACGAAAAGAAACTCGAAAAATAATATGAATAAAATCGGGTTTAATGGAAGGCGGCGTTAACAAGCCGGTTGAGTGGCCGCTATTACGGGCGGCGGCGCCAGTGAATATAATACCAACCCCGAGATCGGGGGAACAACTCGCCGCGATACTCTCTGCGACACGGAACAATCCGGCGCGAACTCAACGGCAGAAATTATCCGTACGCGATAAACCCTACTCGGACGACACGGACGCACTCGACAGTAATTTTCTCGCGAACGGTACGAATACCGTCGCACACGCAACACGCGGCCGGGGCGCTTTGCCCGCGAGACTGGGTACTCGGGCCGACGGATCGGCCCGTCTCACAACGACGTGCAATCTTCCGCCGGGCAGTCCCCGACGGCTAACTACGGCGAGCCTTTCGCTCGCTCCCGGCCGCGCCGGCCGCACTGGTCGACAGGGGGTCCCGCTCCGGACGCTCCGTCCTCGCGAAACCCGCCACCGACAACGGCGGAAGCGGCACGGGGTATCGCAAACACTCACTCAGCCGTTCGCACTTCCACGGTCGTCGCGGCTCTACGCGACACTCCCGCGGCAGGCGTACCCCGCGTGATCTCGCGCAACGCAACCCTCGCGCCGCGAATCTCCAGATCGGCTTACTCCGCGCGACCGCGAGACTCGACGCAAACACACACACTCGCTCACTCACACAGGAGACCTGTGCCCTGCAGGCTCCGGGGCACCGCGGCTGCTTGTCGCCGCGACCGGGACACACGACGAAAATCTAAAGCCAACGCGCCGTCGCCCGGGCGACACCAAGCGCGAAATTTTCCCGGCGGCGACAGTACAACCCGGGCCCGGACGCAATCGCACGGGGCGAAACGGACGGAGGAGGATCTCACCGGCACCTCGGCTCTCCCGAGATCGGCAGGCGGCAACGGCTCGTCCTGGGCTCACGCGGGAACTCGCACTTCTTGGCGGGAAAACGACGGTAGCGGCAGACCGGGGTCCTCACTCTTACAACTCCGGCAACAGGCTAACTCCGAATTTTCCGCAATCGCGGATCGATAGTTCGGGGCCCCCCCCCGCGCGGCTGCCCGCGCGAGGCGCGTGCCCCGCGGCCAATCGCGCGACGGCACGCGACAACGCCGGCAGCGATATTTTCATGATCGGGCGCAGGTGCCCGCGGTATCGCCAAATTTCCTCGCGTTCCCTCTGTTACAGACGTATAATTTTAACTAAATTATTCAAATTAAATTTTTAAAAGAAACTCCTGAGAAATCTCTCGGAACATTCCTTATCGATCGTTTATCAGATTACAACTCGCGACGAAGCGGTACCTCGGTAGCAGTGACAACTGTTACCAGGGTAGAGTTGCGGTGAAGGAACGGAGAACAATACCTTCTTCCTCCACTTAAAGAAACAACGTAGGGGGAAATTTACTATATAAATGCGAGCAGGATCGAGTCGACAATCCATTGATCCATTAATTCTTTAACAATCCATAAACTCACGACTCACTATCTCGACAAATAAGAGTTAAAACATGGTGGAAATATTACAAGGTGAAGCATTGCGCATCAGGGAGAGAGATGGGCGGTAACTTGGTATATTTCAACCAACCAGATGTGAGCGGCATTGCAAGCCGCCAATTTTGAAACAAGTTTATGTGAAATGAAATGAATAAATCATATTTAA